ATATTAAAAAAATAGTAAAAGACTACTCTGCACAGAAGACACTAGTTTTGAACACCCTTAGTTATGTTGATTGAGAATATATATGCATGGCAAACCGTAGTCGATTTCCCTCGTTAAAGAGTAACTGCTCAGGAAAAGGGTGCGTGTGTGATTTAATATCGTCACGAGGAAAGAAAATATGGAGTGAATATTTACACAGCGATAAAAATTTGTAATTTAATTTGTTTTAATAAAACAAAACATTCATTTCAAATATACGTCGGAGAAAATTAATCAAGAAATAAATGTATTGATTATTTAAAAATGACATATATTTTTATAGGTAGTATTTTTCTGCACATATACCTATCGCAATGTTATAAATCAATAAGCTAGCGATTATTAATATTTCTTTATAATATGATTTTTTATCGCGGGCCACAAAGTGGATGCCATGTGGGCCGTATGTTGTGCAGGCCTGACTTAGATTATTATTTACTTGGATTAGTAATAAGAGTTTATTACTTAGTATTGTGTTATAATTTATTTAGAGAACCAATAGATACCCCATATCATATTTTGATTTTCAGAGTCCTGATATGGATCCTATTGAAATGAAGCTAGGGGAATGCTATGAGCCTGTGCGATGCATCTTAAGAAGCTCAACAGATCGTAAACTCATTGCCTCTTGTGGCACCAAAGTTGTTGTTATGGAAACTAGAATAGGTGTAGCTGTGGAAAACATTTTTAACACAGTTGAAGGAAGGTATTAGTAAAATTAATGTCTTATTAGAGACCAATGATTTTTTTACTAATGGATTATTTGTATATTTTTTTAAATTGATGACTTAGTGCAAGTGCACCAAATTTAAATCAACTTTGCGATTTAAACAAATGTACAACTTTTAGACTTTGTCTGACATGTTAAAAAAAAAACCAGAAGGAAATAAAAAGATAATGGAAGAAAGTATCTATACTATTTATATAAGTTAGTGGAATAATAGTTGATTAAAGAACACATTTTTTGATAATGGTACTAAATCTATTTTGACAGCAATTCATCTTCCAATCCAATCACAAGTATGGCATGTGGGCGCCAGTTATTTTTAGCACATCGCAACAGTAATGTTGTGGAGGCTTGGGATGTGATTCGTGGAAGACACAAAAACTCACTGGACATAAGTAAAACATTTAAGTAAGACTAAACTCATCAATTATTATTATTTAATGAATCGCCAAGTTATGAAATTGTTGCATGCATGCAGTACGTAATTTATATATTTATTTTAAAAACAATAATTTTAAACGTGTGACTTGTGTAAATTATATATTGTTCTACAGTTAAACAATTTATACATTTTTAATTGTAATACTTTTCAGCTAAATTACTAAATTTGACATTCCAAAGAAATAAATAAATAAAACAGTCTTGACAGTGAATGATATCTTGTTATTTTCAGAAACGTAAGACATTTTCAGATAAATAATGTACATTTCCAGGTTATCATTAAAAGACAGTCGTATCACTGCTATGGTGCTCCATGATGTTAAAATATTATGGGTAGGAACAGGAGGGGGTCAGATTGCACTGATTGACGTCAACAACTGGACACCTATCATCTGCACGCACAGGCACACCGCATCCATCAGATGTCTCACTGCTGTTAAACTGAAAGGTTAGTTTCTTCTATGACTGTCTTATGGATTTGTGAGGGATGAGAGGAAGGGGAGCTGTGTCAATACGTCAATATGACAATATGTCAAATAACATAAAGTGGTGATACATTAATGTTACTAAGGCGGTGGTAGTTAAAATGTTTAGACACCAATGCTGTAGATTATCATTGGTCATTAAAATATATTTTTAAAAGTATTGGTCCAAATATAATTTTCAAAGAAAAATCTTTTTTTTTTTACAATCTGGTAATTTATTAAATGGGAAGTACTTTAATTTTAATGTTTTCTCAGGTTTAGCCAAATATGGCCCAAATGCTAGCACAGGTGTTATCTTGAGTGGAGGTCTAGGCTTTAGGAACAGGTCAGAGTATGACACAGAAAAAGGTGAGTAAGCATTTATTCAATCAGTGCTTGCAAATGGGGATCAAAATTTTGAGCTAGATAGGTTGTCATATGCTGGAGTACACATGACATAAAGAAATTGTTTGTTTTTAAAGTAACATTTCACTCAAATCAGAAAGAAGTATCTAGCTTCTAGGTCCCCCAGATAAAAAATATTGACTAGGTTGTTGCTCACTTAGTAGCTACCAGTACCTAAATAAAAGTTTAGGAAAGTACAAACTGTTCTTTAATTGACTCTCTTCCTCCAGTAGAAAATGAATATGGTAGCTGCTTGACTGCAATAAAAACTCTTGACTATAGAAACTAAAATGTTTAGTCACATGAAATTTTTTGTTTAAAAACCCTTCATTATAGAAATGGTTGGAAAATATTAAACTATTGACTCATTTGAATATTAATATTGATTTATTTGACAGAGAATCAGTATGGCTGCATTGGAGTCTGGGATGCTGATTTTCCACAAACTTTTAAGCAATTTTCTGATTGGTCCAAAAAACGAAAAGAGTTGAATGAATCAAGCACCCGCAAATAAAATAATGGAATTTCAACATTCTTAAAAACAATAGGAGGAGAAAACTGAGCTTTTGCTGCAGTTAAAACGGTGAATGTGAGAGCTGTAATAGATTATTTTTTAAAATACATGATGCTATCTGGCTTGTTGGTTAAAGAGGTTGGGGTTTTCACCATAAATTATATAGTGCACTGTTATAAAAAAAAAAAAGTCCGGCATAATTGAATATGTGTCCTTAAAGTAAGGTGCAACTCATTAGGATATGTATGGCACTAACAGCTGACAATAGAAATACATAAATAGCAATTCTTAATCTTAGACATGTGTATGCAAAAAAAACTACATTGATAACCCCAAACATTTAACAACATTTATTCTCTCAGTCAATTAAATAGGATGAAAATACTTAGTAATTTGATTCTCATGTTAAATCAACATGTTTTCAAGTGATGTTTTTAGCTTTTGAGCTTTCTTATCACCTAAAAAAAGCAAACATATTTTGTAAGTACCGGTATACAAGTTTTGTTGTGTGCATTTAGCTTCTGATACTAAAGAAAAAACTGCCAGTTTTAAATAATTATTTTTTGGGAGAAATTTTTATTTTTCATTGTTGTTTTTTATTTTTTATGTAACAATTTTTAAAAAAAAATAATTACTGCCATTTATGCATTTAACTAAATTCAAGCCGCAAAATACAGGACCAATTTATTCAAGTCTTAACACTTTTGCTTTCCTTTCATATTATATTGTACCACTTGTTGCCTCTGATTTTGATTCTAATATGCAAATAATTTTAAGCTTATATAGTAGGATGTTCAAAATATGTCGCTCTTACAATTTATTATAAAAATATGTACTTTGTGGCACCATATTCATATGTACATATTACAATTCATTTAAATCCTAATTAATTAATCCCTTTTCCTCTCATGCTCATTCATGTATTAAAATATTATTGATATATATTATAATGTAATAAAATCTATGCAGTGCTCAAAGTGAAAGATAATAAAGTAAAGGTTCTTTTTTCCCCAAATTTTCAGTGCTACTGCACACAATATTTTGTTACATTCTATTTGTATGAGATTTAATTTTTTTGTTGCATTTTTGCCATTGGTGCTTAATAATTATCTTAATGTAATGTGTCTAATAGAACTAAAATTTTTATATTAACCTAAAATATTTTAAGAGTGTGCACTTATAATATTATATATATTTATAAATGCATTAGCTTGTATACCAACCAGTTCTGATAAGATTTAAACAAGGATTTCCAAAAAAGATCAAAAAATAAAATGATAATATCCCAAAATGTGGGATGATTGTTTCAGAAACAATAACTATTTATTGATAACTTAGCTAATTAATACAGCTGATATTAATAGTTAAATAGCTGTTAAATATGAAAATATGCAATTTTTTTTACAATATACTGAATCAATCTAATCTGGATCATAATATTTTCAGTCTTGTATTTTATAAGCCTATTTTGTTTTTTATTTTAAAATATGGTTTTCAAAATATATTTTATACTATCAAGTTCTTAGAAAAGTTAATTAGTCTAAAATAAGGTTATTGTCTTATGTTTACAATTATAATTTGTTGGTAAATATCGAATGAAGGATTTTTTTTTTTTAAATCATCTATATACAATTATTATTCTTTGTAATACTTTGAGACTACTTAATGTTTGTTTGAATTTATTGAATATTTCCCTGTAACCAGAAAACAGACCTATGACAAACTGTTCTTTTTATATTGTGACACATTAAATACTTTCTGACATATTTTATCAGTGACCCATGATACATTGTAAAGTAAATCCATGTAAGGGATCATCCATATATTATGTATATACTGAATTTCGAGTCGTGCAATTTTAATAAATTGCCGTCATAATTGCTAAAACTATGTTGAAAATCCAACCTGTACAGCCATCATGTTTACTGCTGTTCTACCATAAATTTAAATTTAGCTCTTGTGTTATACTGCTTTGAGAGTTAAATCATTCAATAAAATAATTCTAATGTCAATTATTTTTGTATATATTATTATGGTGAACTTATAAACCTCAATTATCTAGGACCTAATATACTTTTTATCAAGTTGAAAATAAATTTCATTGAATGTTAAAGTTCACCCACTTTTAAGATATGATAGAAAAAATTAATAGTTAATTTAATTTTGAAACAAAAGACCCTTAAATACCTTTTAACGGGATAGCTCAGTTTTAAATATGGGGTCGATGGTCACCTGAAAAAGTTTAAGCCCAAAATTAATAATTTTTATTGATAATAGCCTTATTTTTGAAAAACCTCGACAGCACCCATGTATTAAATATTTAATTGTATATATTATATATGTAAAAATATGCTCATAAATTTTTAGCTGTAATAAGCAAAGTGCTTTCTTCCACTTGAAACAAAAACCCGGTAATTGCCATACGTTTACATTGTTGTGTTAAGATTTTTCTTTATTTGATATTTTTTTATATTGAGAGGCATGTGGTTCCATGGTGGAATAAAATGTCAAAATTCTGTTTTTTTGCCTTCTTGTGTTATTTGCCAAGAGTTCTCTATGATCAAGAGGTCCTGCCAAACATATTCCAGGATTATCCAATATCAATCTACCAGTAAATGGGACACAATTAACAAAATTCTAAATAATTATAGGCTAAAGATGTCTTTAATGCATTTTTTAAAAAATGTTTGTCTTTGAACTTCTTTCTTAATAACTGCCACACATGTTCTATTGTGTTGGGATAAAATTTTAATTTTTTTTATTTTTAAACATGTTAATACTGGTTTGAACAGGTGACCTTTTTAGCCAAGCTCACACAACGAAACAATTCACAGATAAGTGAGCCTTAGTTAATACCATTACAATCCAAAGGCAGAAATCAGTTACATAATTATCACACAATCTTTACATACAAACCCAGCCTTTTATCAAGACATTTTCACAAAAACATAGAAGGATCATACAATCCTAGGCACCGAAGAGCATGCATGTACTCTTTCTGTGGGGCTCCAGTAATAACAAGGGGAGGTGATTTTTTAACAGGGAACCTTTTCAGTGTCACCTTGTATCTGTGCATAAATAGAGGCAGTGGCTCATCTTTGGAAAAGTGTCCATTGTGTGCCAAGGCTTCCAGGATTTGGGGTGGAACTTTCTGTCAGATTAAAGGATAAATACTTTCAAGTAAAATTTCATCTACATGAGATTGTTTAGAATGTTAGTCAATACCATTTAATTGTCCTGACACTTTTGTTTTTCTAATTTCAAACTTTGACTAGTTGAACAGTTTAACCACTTTAGAAATTATATTGAAATATTCCACTAGTTTTAATCTACAAATAGAAGTTTTGTCTTTTTCCATCCCCTTCCTTAAAAGTAGGGTTTACCTACCTTGGGTGCTTCCACCCCAAGTGGCATTTCAGGGTAGGCAAGGAAAATTGATTATAAATATAGTTTGTTTATTTGTTTTTTTCAATATCAAAATGTTATTTAAAAATTTGTTATGGCTGCAGAATATAGAGAAAGGTTGGGAAACACAGAATTTACATGACTGTAGATTACGTTTTGCAAGTTCTTTTATTACCTGTGTGCTAGGAGGCACAGAGTATGGACTAGCTGAAAATGGCACTCCCATAACTGAGTAGGTCCTGCTTGAGTAAATATGATCTCCAAGTACAGGGCTTAAATAGTGACTCATAAGGACTTCCACAGCTTCCCATCTGTCTGTCAGATTCAATAGGTTATAACATTATATAACCTGATGTATCAAATTTTACTATCACTATCAATATCTCACTTTATTGTTGGCATCTGTTTTTTACTTCAGTTTAATGTTGTTCTGAGTAATTCAGTAAATAAAATTGGTTGTTTTAGAGGCCAACCATATATTAAGTATGCACAGAGTGGAGTATGTTGAGTTGTCTTGGCAGAATGTGTATGTAGACTAATGGTTCAGATTTATCGTCATGCTATGGCTTTGTTTTCACAAATGAATTAGTTAAAAAACACAACGCTAGTTATTAACTTAGTGACAACTTTAGTCACATGCTTTTGTTTGGTTCCATGTGTAAGTATAAAAACATAAAATTATAGAAACATAAATGTCTTTTGACCATGGTAGAATTAAGTTTTCAAACAGGTGATTGTGGTGGGGGTGGGTTGTAAAAGTTAATTTTTACTTATGCATAGGAAAGAGGGGTCGGAAAATAAAAAAATATTATGGGTGCAACAGGGGGATGGGAGCATGATAATTTCCTCCAATCTCAAGATTGCACATGGCAGAGGAACAAAAATGTAGATTTAAGTATTTGGGCATACTATGAGTAGTAATATACAGTACAGTTAGTATGGTTGTTTCATATGCAAACATAAGTACTTTAACAGTCCATCATATTTCAGATATCTGATAAGAATATCCATCAAGTATGTTGAAATTAAAATAAAATGTGAAAATACTGAAAAAATAAATTCTCAGACAATATCTGTAAGTAAAGATTTTGGCTACGCCATGAAGCTTAACAAGTAGAGCCATTCTATGATCTAGTACCACAATGGCTAAGTTATGAAGCTTAACTAGTAGAGCTATTCTATGATCTAGTACAACAATGGCTATGCTATGAAGCTTAACAAGTAGAGCCATTCTATGATCTAGTACTTCAAATGCTACATCATAAAACTTAACATGTAGATCCATTCTAAAATCCATTACTTCAAACTAACCTTTATTTATTGAAACTTCCACTAAAGATGTTGCAGTGTCCTTGTTCACAACCAAAGGTTTGACACTAAAATTAACCAGTATCATTGAGCCTTCTTTGCGAGCAGAATGGATGTCTTTTGGACTGACTGTGCTCTATGAAAAAAAGTACATTAAAAATCAAAAACAATAATGCACTTTAAGATGACTTAATTTAATGACTTAAATATGGTTACCGGAAATTTGATCGAAAGAAATTTCGCCGAAGGTAAATTGATCGACGGTAATTTGATCGACCGGAAATTTGGTCGAATCTTTTTTTCAGTTCACACGTTAAAATTTTTGTCAAGTATCTTTTTGAACGCACCGTACTATATAGTAAAACAAAATAATGCGTTCAAAAAGACATTTGAAGCAAAATTTAAACGGAAAAAAAGATTCGACCATATTTGCGTTCAATCAAATTACCGTCGATCAATTTACCGTCTACGAAATTTCTTTCGATCAAATTTCCGGATACGCTTAAATATAGGAAACCAAAAACAAAAAGGTAGATTATCCCACCATTGAGCAGAAGATAGAATGAAAACCCATTGATGCATACAGACCATTTTCATTTTAATCAAACTTTGTAATATTTTAATTACCTTTTTCCACTCAAAACAAAAAAATAATTTTTTTTATTATTTTGCAAACATATTGTATCTGATATCAAATGCTTTGCCACATCACTGCTATGTTTTAACTCACTACATTATATAACTTTCCTAAAAATGCAACAGAAGTGGCTAGCTAAATTTTAAGAATTGTATAATTCTCTCTAAATGATATACATTTCTAATAACATACTCCTTGATAGTGTCTTGCGAATATACACAATTAAATAATATTTCTTACTAGTTCTCTGTTGTGTAAGAACTCTCTGCTAATGTAAGCTTCTAATGGTACGTTGTGAGGACATACAGGTACTCCAAGTGTGATCACTCTAAACAAACAAAAAACAATTAAAAATATATTAAAAAATAAATTGTACTTGCAATTTTGCATTAATCCAATATTGAGCTAAGTAAGGGTTTATCTTTCAATGCTTAAGCATTACTACTTACAGATATGACATGAAAGGTTCTTTCTGGGCTGCTGCACATGCAATACATTTTTCAAACTTTTTCTTTGTCTCTTGGCTTTTACACAGAAGCATTACTCCACTGTAAAAGCTTAAGAAAATATTAATCATAAGGTAAATAATTCAAGTTTTTATGAATAATCCTAAAAGAAGAACACACATACAAAATTAACATTTTATATTAAAGCACACACATTCTTAAATTCAGTGAAATACCTTTTGAGAGATAAGCCCACTTCAATTTCTGGGCACTGCAACTTTTGGCTTAAGTATGGTAAGTATTGATGAATCGTTGAGCTCAGCTTGTTAGATTCTTCCCCTACATCTGATGTTGAAGCCTGCCTCTTACCTGACCAATTATATGTTTGTGATAAGTATTTAAAATAGCATATATACATCTTTTAATTACCAAGTTTAGTGTGACTCGAAGACAGCTTATTTTTACCAAAACAATTATCAACATAAGTCAAACTAAATATAATTTTATTAAAGACATGCAGCATTTTATGATTATAGTAATGATTGAGCAAAAACAAGTTGTTGTTTTCTTTAATTTAGAAAGACACAATTTAATTCTAATTATCTAAGTAGCCATGTCTTGAACAACTTTCCAACAAGTCTATAAATTAATTAGTAATTTGTCAATGTTTAATATTTTTTTTTTTAAAGAACTGAAGGAGAATCTACCATACAACTTAAAGTAAAATTTCATTTCTAAACACACTACGAGTACATTATGGGGAAACACAAAAATTACCATAAACTGATATTCCACATGGCTTGTTGATAGCAACAATGTTATCTGAAAAACAAAAACAATATTAAAATTGTGCTTTTTGTATACTTAAAGTTAATTAGAAATCTCATGTATTAAAAAATTGGGCTTAAAAAATAAATTACAGTTATATTAAATATGTAATTTATTGTAAATTGTACACTATTTAAATAAGTGTTGGTGTTATGAAATTGAATTATATTGTCAAGGTTATATTTTGTTATAGTTTTCTACCTTGGATATGATTTGTTTGTTCTACAGAAAAAAGTTACTGAATTATCCATATTATTTCTATAAATCATCACTCATAGTCAGTATTTAACCAAAGACAAATTATATCAATTTGAAACTTGACAGAAGAATCCATCAACAAAAAGCCAAAAGGTGACACACATAAAACTTTTTTTCTAAAATGTCAGCATTTTTATTGAAAAGTATAAATAATAATAAATTATTATTAATTGAACAAACATTTTTCAAGAAAACAAATATTTCACAAATTAAGGTTATAGCTTTTTATTTTATTTTCAGTAAATAAAAATGAGCAATGAATAAATTAATGAAATAAAAATTGCTTACCACTGGCAAATATAATTTTACTATAAATATCATCTGGAGATATTGTTTGCTTATTGGTGTGAGGTTCACTGTTGCAACTGTGCAAATCATCACAAGGTATGTCACCCTTGCTAGCTATTGTGCCGTAACTTGCATATTTTTCATAACACTTTCTTGTTCTGGCAACAAGTTCTTTTAGTCTGAAGGCATCACCAACCAGTCTTCTCATCTGAAGTTTCATCCTATGGGATCATATAACAAATCGATTTTGAATCAGTTAAATTTATTTAAAATAAAGTAGAACAAAATTGTGTAGGGGATTTGATTGCTTCATTAAGAACAATAATAGTTTTGTAATATTACTGTTTAAAGTAGTTTCCTCTCATCATAGACAGTGTATTCTGCTGAGTTAATTATTTTCATTTTTTTTGTTTGCAAAAAAAGCTTTTTGCAGAAACATTCATTGTTTTGGGTTGACTTTTTTCAAGTTTACCCTTATCTTGTGTACCTTATTTCATTTTTTAAACATTTTCGCAGTATCCCCCATAATATTAACCTTAATATTCCAGACTCAAAGTAATTAAGTTGTCTGAAAACAGAGCTTTGCAAACACTGTGTAAAACATTGGTGCTTAATGTACCGCTTAACCCTTGCCTAGCGATCTTTATTATTACTACTGTATTAAATAGTAAATAGTTCAACCAATCATACTTGTCCAACCACAGATATAGGCCTTGACTGACTTGGAATAAATTTTATTCGATTCCTAATATGCTCAAGATACACACTGCTTATCCACTTGTAAAACCCTCAAGCCAGCATTTACCTAGTTGCTGTAATACAAAAAACAAACACAATTTAGCAGAAGAGGATTTGGGGGTACCGCCTGAGGCCTGATTCCAAGAAGTCCGCCCAGTGCTAACTATCCACCTTACCAAATTGTGAGCCTGCAACGCATAGGACCCTGAGTTTCTAGGACTCTACATCCCACAATAGGCACAATTCCACAACATACAGCTTTTACTTTGATTCACCTCAAAATTTACCACTCCGTTCAGATAAATTATATTTTTATTAAGAGATCCCTCCCCAGAACCCCTCCCACCACTTCCAAGACAAAAATAAAAAATGAGAAAAGAAACTTTTAGCTAATAAATACAGATACAGAGCTAAAAATCAATGTCAATCAATATCTTTTGAAAAACAGAACTATGGGCCCTTGGGCTTGGGGAACCTCCATGGCCTATACACTGTGGAAGACATCGCCAGCCCTGCCGCTAACTGCATTTCAGCCATAATTTGGGGTATTCTAATTCTAAGAGTTCTTTTAGAATAAATTATTATTATCTGAATATATATATTAAAGTTAAAGGTGGCTTCTAAATGCTATGGCTATTCCGATGTCATTTGTGGTAGTTAATTTTAGTTAAAGTTAAAACTGAAGAAGTAAGTTTACAAACATAAAGTTCATTGAATTATCTTTCATTTGATACCAAAATTCGCCTTAAAAACCCAACAATAATATTTTAAATATTTTATTTTTAATAAACCCAACCTCTCACTCTTGCCCGGGTCCGAAAATAGGCATAGCCCCTTGCCCTTCGTCTTAGTTAATTTACTACGACTACAGAACTCTTCAAGCTTCAATTGGATAACTTTTCTTTTTGGCCTATTCTTACAATTTCAAAATTCAAGTAAATAAATTGAAATTTCGGTATTTCAGTCTTTAATTATTATTTTTTTTTTAGAAATATTTATAATGCATTTACAAAATAGTAGTACTAGTTTGTCTTGGAGTAAAATACCTTTCATATCACAGTTCACAGGAAGTAGGAAGTTCAGAAAACGAAAGAATAGAAAACGAAAGGAGTGAAAACCGGAAGACCTTAAGAATTTGTGTTTACGGCTCTTAAAACTAAAACGCATAAACAGCAGAAACTGAAATAATACAACATACCTGGTTATCATACAATACGTTATAAGCTCCCCAGAACAAACTATTATCCTGTTATATATTGGCTATTAAAGGTAAGAGATGGATTAAATTATAAATCATAAATATTGCAGTGGAAGAAGCTACTTTGTGGTTTAGTTCTTTTAACTTTTAGTTTTAAATTTAAAGTCGTGTAGTGACAGTGTCAGTAGACAGTAGTACTAGAAGTCGGGGTAAGTCGATTACCATGGCCATATGACTATTGACTATTATGATGTAAATCAAATTGGTCATGGTTGAATCTGTTTCAGTTTTAGTGTATAGTTTATTTATAAAACTGAAATGTTGTGTTGCAAAATATGTATATCTAAATCTTATATCACTGCCATGTGTAAGTTAGGGTGGCTCTGAAAAATGTTTGGAGTTGGACTCCTAATAATTTTAATTTTATTATTTTTATGCTATTACTATTATTTTTCATTCTTATGTGTATTTATTCATGAAGTGGTTAGGCAAGGCAAATGCCCTCAAAGGGAGCTCCCCCATAGATTTTGCATGTTTGATCCCTAAAAAATTAACATTTATTTAATGAAATAAGTGATTTTCAGTGATTATAACACTGGCATTGCTCTCTACAAATTTAAGGGTAGAGTCTCTACCCTTAAATTAAACAGTTATTTAAGTTATTTGCATATGAAAAGTTCTCTTCACCTTTTTCTCCACAGATTGTTGTTATATTATATTGGTAAATTTTAAGGACTGGACCAATTATGTTATAAATCTATGACATAAGAATGAAAATCTCCAATGTTCTAAACTGTTCTTTTTCTGAGTGGTACCCAAAATTTAGAAGTTTTTCATTCAAGAGGTCAGTGAACTTTAAATCTCTATTTTTTATAAGATTTTTAAAACTTTAATTTTTATCCAGTGGAAATTTGTTTACTTAATTGTGTATGCTTCATAAATCATTTGAATACTACCTACTACCAGTTCATATTTTAAGGACAGAAAATTAACAGTTTTATAATCATGTCAGTCTCAAGTCATCAACACTGTTGAAAACAGGCATGCAATGCCAGTTGAAGTTTAAGTACCTGTAGTAAAAGAACAAGGTCCTATCAATAATTTCTTGGCCTCGTGGGATTGCTTGCAAAAATACAAGAACAACCCAGAGATCAAGTAGCTATTACCAAATATATCATAATAACAATTTACACTAATAGATAAAGGTCTCCACCACTAATTAAATCTACTGATCTTTTTATCGGTTTATTGGACTTATGATTTGTGAATTTTAGTTTTAGCCAATAATAGTGTCACAGATGGTGGTATGAGGTATGGCCCATCGCGTACCAAGTAGTATTGGTGTTGGTTAATGCAGGGCTGCTCCTCTCTGTGATAGTTCCGTATCCAGACGTTGAGGAATGTAACGAAGACAACACAGACTTCAATGAATGACTAAGAAATTCCTCTTTAACAATTATAATCAAAAGAATGTATTGATAGATATAATATAGTCTAGTAATGTTTCTTTTCCAACTGTTAACATCCATTAATCTTCAACCTTTCCAACCTCCCAAAACATTCCCCACTTCCTCCCGGAAATCGCACCCCAGCTCATTTATCATTAAATAAAAGTGGTGCCACATAGGGGAAAGTTCAGAACAAAACACATTATAAATTACAGGAAGAAGCAATGGAGCGCCGTTGTTAAACCCCACCCCCAGTCATTTGTGACAAATATTTATAACCCCGCTCATGGATTCCTTCAGACGTGAGAGATATGTTTGAAATATCATTATTTGGCCTGAATAATGGTGTTTTTTTAGCCAACTGCACCAGTTAATTAACAGTCACATTTTATTTCGGTAGATGTATAAAGAATTACAAAGTTTGAATCTTTAAATTTCAGTATTGTCATCCCACTTCCAGACTTCTTCCTGTCATATCTTCACACAGATGGTGTCATTCTTCCAAACAGGTGATACTAAATCATTTTTGTTTTATTCTAAAACATGCTTCTGCTTGAACTTGCAGAATTAACCTCTAAAAGCAGTCTATATAAAAGATATATATATATATATATATATATGATTACAGCCTCGGCCATCCAATTAGTCTTGCCAACTGTCCATACAGCATATTCTTTGGAATACGGCCTTTTTCCATTCTCCTTACATGACCTTACCAGCAAAGGCGCCTCTTAACAAGAGCGGCAAACATGCTACATATTTTGGCACGTTCCAATACCTTTTTGAATATGTCTTTTATATAAACTGTTTATGTTTTTTGCCTCGATTAGTGTACCTTTTCTGATATTCCCATCTTGAGGCTTGAAATGACTATAAGTTGTGAAAGGCTGAAGACCAATGCACCAGCGCGTTTTGGTGTTTAACAATAAAAGTAACTATTCAGTGTGTCTTTTAAGTCACTTTATAAACACAAATACATTTTTCATATTTCTGTATCACAGATAGTGTTTATTTTCTTGAAATAACTCTTTTCTATACTTAGTTCACATCATGGTGTATACACAAAATCAAAAAATTTGGCCATGGATGGAGATGAAGATGATCCAGATATTAGAGATGATGAACTCATGAAAATGTATGAGGTAAATTAAGTTGTTTTTGTTAATATGCTGGTGACATTTAATATACTCTCAATAATCTAGAGTAAAATTTTCATCAATTTTTACATAGTCAGTTCTTGCAAATGACTCAAATGGGCTATGTTAGTAAAGCATTGTCATTGCTTTTAAAACAATTCTGGAATTTTATCACAGTTAAACCTAACAAACTTTTTCTTTTTAAAGATTTAAATTTGAATATATTTAGTTTTACATTGTAAATCATGGGTGGCCAACCCAAAATGCTTTAAGGGCAACTTTGATAGTGAGTAGACCTTATGCGAGCCATATGTAATTACACGTTTTCAATGTTATAAGAATCACTCACTAAATACTGTATACAATTATTTATTTACTCTTAATGCACATAATGAAAATGCAAAATAGCAAAAATAAAACTTAACCAATGGGATAAATGCTTACCTTTTCTCTTACTTAAAATTTTAACATCATCAATTTATTTATATATTGAATGAAGAACAAATAAGTTTATTTTTGACACTCAGGCACCGGCGGGCCACAATATTTAATGTGACAGGCTGCATGCGGGCCGCAGGTTGGCTTCCCCTGTTTTAAATTTTTTTAAACTAGAGAAATTTAAAAATTCAATTTTATAACCTAAACCAAAAATGAATTTTTGTATAGAGTACTTACAATTAGTGTATTATGTGCACGGAGACAATTATTTGTAATGTATGAGACCTTATTAATATTAAATTTGTTATCACTATTGAAAAACTTCAACTTATCATTAAAATTTGAAAGAATACATGGTATAAATAGATTAACTATTTTCCAGTCAGACTGGTCAACAAGTTGCATCCAAAGCAGCGCTGAGGTCAGTATCTATGCTATCCTAATTCTTTAGTTAGTAGAGATACTTTTTATAACTCTAATATTAATTTTACACCAACGTCATTCAGATTTGATAACTAGTCAATTTCATTTTGTTCCTTTTTTCAAACTAATATTTTAAAGTTATAATTTAAAAGTGAACAAATAGTCCGTCTTACGATTAAAATATATTATTACACTATGCTGATTTTGTTTCTTGTTTTGTTTCTTGTATTTTTATCTTAACATCTAAAATGTAATTGCAAACACAGAGAAATTTAGAATGACTATGTTTTGAATGTAAATTTTTGAAAGAAACAAATATAAAACAAGACATGTGACATACTTTGAATTTTCTTGTTAGGCTCCAGATTTTGGAGAATTTGATATCCAAGTAAAGTCAGCTATAAAACTTCTGGGTGGGAAAGTTTTTCCAAAGTTGAATTGGAGCTCCCCAAAAGTATGTTTATCTAAGCTTCCTCTGTTATGTGGAAGATCTGATGTGTACAATTAATATTGTTTATTTTCAAAATAATTAAATTTGAGTTAGCCAAACTGTTATTTTAATTGTTAAAATAGACATGTATATAACTATTCAATTTACTTAGGTTATGATATATTTTTTAATATTTAAGCTAAACACAAGAGGCTTGAATTTAGCAACACAAATAAAAACACTAATAGGAACACCTTAATTCTTTTTAAACTGTCCTGAATACCTAAATAAATTAATGTTAAGTGTGGGTTGCATGGTCATCATGTATTGTAATAAATTTGTGAGTAAATTTATGAAAGGTAAAGTACTTTGTAGCCGTTTTGGGTAACTGTGAAAATTATAATGTAAAAATGTATGGTGTTTTTATGTAAGTTGTGAAAATAAACTTTTAAACTATTAAAAGTATACAAAATTAATTTTGAATTTGTAAACGATAGAATGCTTCAAATCCTGCTTTTTAAATACATAATTGCAATACTTTTTTTTAAATCAACAGGATGCAACTTGGATAGCGTTTGACAAAACTTTAATGTGCACCTGTCCTAGTGATGTTTACTTATTACTGAAAAGTTCAGAATTTATTGCACATGATCTTGATCAGCCGTAAGTAGCTTATATTTTGATTTTGTATCAGAAGTTGTTTATTAAAATGTGGGCAATTATTTAACATAAAACACCTGGGAAAGACATATTTTTTAATGTCAAAAGAAGTTTAAAAAAAAATATTTTTTTTCTTACAAATTTCTCTTTTTTCAAAGACTCTTAAACATATATTCTTTAAAGCAAATTAGTGCTATTTTTACAACATGGATTTTAAAATTAATGAACAAATCTAATTAAAGTGTTAACAAGCTGTTGTATTTCATGGGAAAAAATTATAAATCATAGCATTATTTAATTTTCCTATTTTTGGAAAACTTAATTGTCCGAAATATTTTATTGTTTCGGTTCATTTTAATATTTAATGTTTTGATATTTTAATTGCAATAAAATATTTCCTCTAGATTCTCCCTTTGTGAAGACCACACAAATGCTAGTGCAGGACAAACGGTTGATTATACTTTAGTGTTACGTAAATGGGAACCTCCAAATCCATCTACAGAATTCAGGTGTTTTGTTCATGAGAACAAACTGATAGGTAATATTTAGATGTTTTTGTTTTTAAACGTGTATTTCTTTTTAACCAATTACATCCTGATTTATTAGAAGAAATTTTTTTTTTTTTTTAAAGTTCACAACTTTCTGTACTAGATCTAAATCTAGATGAAACATGGAAATAATTTTCTTCAAAAATTTAACAGCTGCAAAAGAAAAGAAGAAAAAAAGATAAGTTTACACATAAATTATGCTGCCATATTTTATCTGCTTCTTATTAAAAATTTCACTACATCAATTTACATAAATGAACCTATTTAAATGAATAAATAACTTTAGCTCTGTAGTTATCCACAAATCAAAGCTATAAACATTTGAATGGGACTCCAAAGCAAAACCAGACATATATGTTGTTATGTTATAGCCTGTGTCTTGGTCTATTTTCCACGTCAAATTATAGCTATTTATAGCACTTTTCTCCACTATTATAGTGTATGGCTTTTTTTCATTTCAACATGGAACTATTATTAGCCAACACCACTTGTCTCATTAGAATAGTCTTGCTTTGACATCGTTGTTTAAATGTGCTGTGTCACTCCTTCCTTACTTGCCCCTTTCTTGGCTGGGAAAAGGGTGTTTACATTCCAATGTGATCCGTTTATTCTAAAGACTGCCATTAAGTGTCACAATTTCTAGAATTTCTGTACTAGAACGTTCTGAATTGGTTCCTATATATATATAGGCTGAATGCTTTCTTAGTAGTGAGACATAGATAGACAAAGCTAGACAGATAGAGAGTGCGAGAGACAGCTTTTCACTATACGAGACATTATATGATTTTATGTGTAAATTAATATTTGAATTTGAAGGAATGTATCTTTTTCACTTGCTGTAAGTTGATAAAGTTTTTTTGGCTTCTGTACTCAAATTTGTATTTTTAAAGAAATATATTTTTATAATTAAATAAAATATTGTTAGCATCACTAGCTTTGGTATCATTTTATTTACACACTATTTTTCTCAGTCCTTTGTTTATATATTGTTTACTCTATGTGCCAAAATCTTAAATGTCTGAAACCATAACAATACATAACAATGTACACACATTGCCCATGTGAATAGAAATTTGACAATTTAATCAAGAAAGCACAATAAAAATGATGCAACATATAATATATGTTAGCATTTTATATATTATGGGGATTCCTTTTTTTTTTTTTTATCTTGACAATTCTTGAAATGAAATAGCTTAAATATTATTAGAGAAAATAAATATTTCATAGATATGACATGTACTTATAAAGTTTCTACACACTTTCTGAAGGTGATTTTCACATTTTCAGGGGTTTGTCAAAGAAATGGAAACAAATTTTATCCACATATTAAAGAGATTAAAGAAGTTATTCTGGCAGATATTTCAACTTTTCTACACTCAACAGTAACCAGGCTTTTCCCAGATTCTTCATGTAAGTATTACTTTCATGTCTAGTAAAATTCTTTTTAGATGTATCTGTCGCGATTGTTGTATGATTGGTTTCTTTAATCAAATGCTTTTACACGCTCATATGTAGAAATCACACTGAATTGAAAACAAGTCCCATTTCCCGTTAATCTAAAAACATATCTATCAGGCTGTACCATGAATCAAATACATGTAAAACGCAGCTCATTATAAGTATAAGAATATAGTACAACCTTCATTCACAACATTCTCTCATCAACTGCCAAACAAAATGCACGGACACCAAAGACAGACAATAGACACTACATCACAATTACAAAAAAATTATGTCAGGTAATGGAGTAAAAGCGTTCATTAATTAAACTAAAACACACAAGACACACTGCTCTAAATAAAACACAATATTCGGTGTGCAACAATTAAATATCCACACTTGACAGTAGCAACTAATATTTTGGTAGCAGTTATTATTATTTTTATTTGAATATTATCAAAAACCCTAATTACTTTTTTCAGATGTCTTTGATGTGGCTCACCTAAAACAGGTACACAATTATATTTTTTATCATTTTGATGCATACAGTCAAATCAGTATAAAATGATTTAGCCCAGAGAGCAAATTATTTTTTATTTAAATTATCTAAATCGGGGGTGGCTAGCCAGCCTTGATGGCTAAACAGGCCACTATGATCAGGAGTCAACTCTTTGTAGGCTGAATGTCCTTAACCTTAATAACGAAAATAAATATCAAATAAATGATGTATACAATTATTTATTTATTCATAATGCACATAATTATCAGATCATAAGATCATTTTTGTACAGCCACACATAAATAAATTAGAAAAAGGTGCCAGTCACTGTCACTTTCAGCCACAGGGGGGGAAACAGAAATTGAGGACAACAAAAAGTCTCCCACGAGTGAAAATGGGGAGGGGGCTGCAACTGCCCCCAGAATTTTTATTGATAAGTTCTAAATGCAAGGATGCACTTTTGCAAATACCTGAATTTAGTTTTTCATCATTCTTCACTTAACTGAAGAACAACAGATGAAATGCTAGTGGAAACTTAGGTCCCCTTGATCCATCTATGTTTTTATAAATCCTTTAATTTTAATAGTTACTTAATGGTAAAAAAAAATTTAAGTATCATTTAAGATTACTAATTCGAATCTATTTTTTATTTTTATTTAATCAGTCCAAAAGAGGGACTGGTACATTATAATGCTGCAAACCATCACAAAATTATGCATTATATCTATTTTAAATGTGCGTTTATTGCAAGAATGAAAATAATTGCTAGAAGAGAGAAAAAAATAAATTCATTTGTGATACATCCACGGGAGCCACACTTTTTAATGTGGACAGCTGCTGTATGGCCCTCTGAAGATCTAAACTACCAAATCATAAAAAATACCTTAAATGCAATGTAGTCTTTTTTTTACTCAACTTTCATACTATAATCTAAATAACAAAATAAACTGGCACATAATGTTAATGTAAATACTAAATATGTAAGGCTTTATTTAATACAAAAAAAATCGAAAACATCATGCCTTGAAGATTTTTGTTCAGAGATTTTACTTGCATTCTGTTGGCTTGCCAAAACTGTCTCTTTCTTTTAACACTTTTATTTCATATATCGTAGGGAACTTATTTTTAATTTTATTAAAGGCTTATCTAGTGTATGATTGAAAAGTGATTTTTCAACAAAAAAATTTCACCATGCTAAAGAAGTGAATCAGATCTTCAGGGCACTGTTTTTAGTGTGTTTAAATTCATCTTTGTTAGAAAGTCTTTCTTAAAAAGTTTTAAAAATATTTTTTTTTGCTACTTTTTAGTATTAAAATTTTAATCAGTATATTAGCCCAAGTCTAATTGCCATATGCCCTGCACCGAAACCGTTCCGAACAACCATTCCCCTACCCACTCTTCTCCCGCCACTCACCAAGTGAGCACTGCACGAGTGATAGAGTCAGGTGTGTCAACAAAAAAATTCAATTTGAGCACAAGGTGGAAAAGCCAGTAAAAAGAAAGTCATTAAAAATAGATTTTAAAAAACCTAATAATTAAATTATTTAATCTAATTTAATATCTCCTGCAGACTAGCAAAATTGCTAGCAGAAGATGAAGAGGTCTGAAGTATGACCTATAGTTTTTTTAAAATAAAATATTTTCTTCTTGATGCTTCAATATAAAAATTAATGTTCAAAAATTATGTTTAAAAAATGCTCTACATCAGAATGTCAACTGCTTGGTATATTTTTTTGATAGGGTATTTTAATTGCCCTTATTATTTTTTAAATTGTCTTCAGGGCCAGATCCTGCTTATTGATTTTAATCCTTATGGGGTTGTTACTGATGGTCTAATGTTTTCATGGTGTGAATTAAATCAACTGGCTGCCCAAAATCAAGAGGTAAATTAACTGTTTGAGCTTTTTGTTTAAATTCTTGAAAATAAAAACTAACTAATTTATTTTTAGGGAATTTATTTTAGACCATGTTAAACCATAGTTTAAAACAGCATTACAGTTAAAAATGGTAGTTATGTCTATATATTGGCTAAATGCTTATATTTATTAGCTATAAATGTTGTAGTGAAAAAAAATGTTCTTTAATGCTTTTTAATTATAGAGTAGTTAAACTAAGTTAGACATTGGCATAAATAAAGCTGTAGCTATCCATAGAGCTGAAAGTGCGACTTACTTCAAAATTATAAAATTAAATGAAAATTAATTTCGTTTTTAAAACGTTCACTTAAAAAAGTAGTTATTTGAATGTTTGCAATACAAGAGTTACATAGCTTGAAGAAGTAAGTTATGTGAAGTTAGATGTATTTTTAAAATATTGAAATTTTCTCAGCCATGTTTCCGCTTTGTGGAGAGTGAAGAAGGTATCCAGAGTATTGATTATGCCAACTATTCTCTGCCACAAGATATTCAAGACCTTACGGCAGGGGAAGATCCTTACAAACTTATGGATCTTATGAAAATGGTATTTTTATGCATTTTTTAATCTACAAATTATGATTTGTGATTAAGAATTTGTATCAATCAATACATTTCAACTTTGTTTTATCATCTGAATAAATGATAATAAATTAATAAGCCTTTACAGATAATCGAAAGGCTTGTAAATTTAAATTTGATATGAAAATGTTTAATTTTCAAAACTATATTTTTACATAATAACACTTATGTTTCTTATTTTCCTTTTTTAAAATGTTTCAATAAATTTTTTTGTATAAATGATAGGAAATGCAGTTTCAACCAAAAACTGACTGTAGTTCAATAGTTAACACAGCCTTGTAACTTTCCTGCTGTAGTTCAATATTTAACATCGCTTTGTAACTTTCCTTTAGAAAATACAGAAAGAGTTTGACAGTGACTCCAGTTCAGATGATGATACCATACAAGAGAACCAAGGGAGTGAACAAGTGACCAAGACTGACAAAAAAACAAACATGCCAGATGACTCACGAGGCTCTGAAAATCTCAGATGATATTACTTAATGAAACCCATTTATATTGTTATTAATATACTTAAAAGGCTGGAGTACCCAGTAAACAAGGTATAAATGAATAGATTGCTTCAAGTTTTGTTGCGTATCATGGAAAGTCAGTAGCGAAACTGAATAATACTCTCTCAACAGATTGTCGCAGATGATAAATAAAATACATTCTTGTTTCTGGATTATGATGTTGCAATACTTTTTTTTTCCTCTGTGTGTTGGGCTTGTATTACCCAATTTCAGTTTCATCTTAACACAATTCAATTTTTTGGAAATTTTAGAATCTAAGTGGTTTAACTTAGGGATTATTTAAAATTGCTTCACATTTTTCAGACATCAAAGGATTAAATTGCCCTATCTTAATGAGGATTAATGCTCAAAAGAGAAATTTGAGTACAATTAAAGCCTTTTTTATTAAAACATGGTTATTTTTTTTTTTTTTTCATTGATAACCTATAAAATATAACAAAATTAAAGAGGGTATTTTGTTAATCTCATGAAATTATCTTTTATTACTAAATTTGGTTTAGACATAAATATATATTATTTCTAAACATATTTTCACATTAAGCATATTTAAGATACTGCTCCATCTATATGCAAATTTAGAAAACATCATCAACTTGCTTAACTTATGAATATTTACTGCAAAATATAAAGATGAGTTACATTTTACAAAATGTTGTGTGTATATATATAAATTCACAAAATACGGTGAGCCATTATAAAAATACTGTATTCATATGTCAGCATAACACTTTAAAATATTTTAAACATTTACAAAACTTGATTTTAGCCAATATTGTAACACTTGAGGATGAAAATTAGTTAATTCATAACATGTATGCTTATTCTATTACTAAATAATATTATGTATGATGTGATTATGTGAGCTTTTTAATTAACACCCTAATTTTGAAGCTTCTGATATTTCATATTAAAATATATAGTTTCTTTAAAAAAAAAGAAGTAACTATTTAATCTCAAACTTTGGGTTATGAATTGAAAATTAGGATAATGATAATTTTCACTTCCAATCAGATAAGCCATATCTATTTTCAACATTTACTAGCTTCAACTGTTTCACAATAATGGTCGAGTGTGCCTATTGTCTTTTTTTAAAGGCAGTTTTAAAAATAATTCATGACCAGATTTTTTCAAATCTGCGTATACAATTGAAGGTTCATATTTTCCAGTTACTTTTGTAATGGATTAACCACAAGACTTTGTACAGCTTGGTATCAATTTAGTCTTTCTTTTTTTTCTAAAAAAACTCACATATTTACCACATTCTAGACATTGGAAATTTCAACTCACTGGTAGGCAACAACTCCAAGGCCCTAAAGATGTTCTTGTATATTCAAAGTCTTTTTTAAAGTTATTTTTGTTATAAGACCTCAAAAAAGTCATGATTGTAATAAAAACAAATATACACATTAATTAAAAAAATAAATACTATACTCACTTTTGCACAGACACACAAAAATTAAATTGGTCATTTCAAGTGTTTTCTACTGTAATCTAACTAAGGCATGTTCATGCTAAAACATTTTACAATAGTAATAGTATATTCCAATTAACTATTTTTAAAGATTTAATTAATAAAAATGATGAACCATTGTTTTAAAAGTAACCAATACTTCAAAGATGTCAACAAATATATTAGGAATTAAAGTAATGTAAGGATTATTTATTAATGCTTAAAAATAATTTAAAAAAAAACAACAACTAATGAGGTAAACAAGTTCAAATCCAGTTTAACAAAACAAATATACAAGATGTTCAAGTTCAAATCCAGTTTAACAAAACAAATATACAAGATGTTCAAGTTCAAATCCAGTTTAACAAAACAAATATACAAGATGTTCAAGTTCAAATCCAGTTTAACAAAACAAATATACAAGATGTTCAAGTTCAAATCCAGTTTAACAAAACAAATATACAAGATGTTCAAGTTCAAATCCAGTTTAACAAAACAAATATACAAGATGTTCAAGTTCAAATCCAGTTTAACAAAACAAATATACAAGATGTTCAAGTTCAAATCCAGTTTAACAAAACAAATATACAAGATGTTCAAGTTCAAATCCAGTTTAACAAAACAAATATACAAGATGTTCAAGTTCAAATCCAGTTTAACAAAACAAATATACAAGATGTTCAAGTTCAAATCCAGTTTAACAAAACAAATATACAAGATGTTCAAGTTCAAATCCAGTTTAACAAAACAAATATACAAGATGTTCAAGTTCAAATCCAGTTTAACAAAACAAATATACAAGATGTTCAAGTTCAAATCCAGTTTAACAAAACAAATATACAAGATGTTCAAGTTCAAATCCAGTTTAACAAAACAAATATACAAGATGTTCAAGTTCAAATCCAGTTTAACAAAACAAATATACAAGATGTTCAAGTTCAAATCCAGTTTAACAAAACAAATATACAAGATGTTCAAGTTCAAATCCAGTTTAACAAAACAAATATACAAGATGTTCAAGTTCAAATCCAGTTTAACAAAACAAATATACAAGATGTTCAAGTTCAAATCCAGTTTAACAAAACAAATATACAAGATGTTCAAGTTCAAATCCAGTTTAACAAAACAAATATACAAGATGTTCAAGTTCAAATCCAGTTTAACAAAACAAATATACAAGATGTTCAAGTTCAAATCCAGTTTAACAAAACAAATATACAAGATGTTCAAGTTCAAATCCAGTTTAACAAAACAAATATACAAGATGTTCAAGTTCAAATCCAGTTTAACAAAACAAATATACAAGATGTTCAAGTTCAAATCCAGTTTAACAAAACAAATATACAAGATGTTCAAGTTCAAATCCAGTTTAACAAAACAAATATACAAGATGTTCAAGTTCAAATCCAGTTTAACAAAACAAATATACAAGATGTTCAAGTTCAAATCCAGTTTAACAAAACAAATATACAAGATGTTCAAGTTTAAATAGAAAGTGTTTACATGAAATAACTTTTAATACTACTTTTTCTTACACTGAACACAATAAATGAGCAGCTATTTGTTGGGGGATTTCAAACTCGGCACTTAATTTTTAAAAAACAAATAACTAAATTCAAAGTATTTTTTAAGACATCCTATACATTTGTACGCATTAAAATTTTAAGCTCAACATTCACAAAGGGAAGAGTAAAATCCTCAAGCTTAATGCCACCAGTACATCACCCATTATGCTTGAAGGAGAAGCCCTTGAGGAGGTGGACAGTTTTGTTTACCTTGGCAGCATGGTAGATAAACAAGGTGGTACAGATGCGGACGTCAAAATAAGGATGGGAAAAGCAAGAGCAGCCTTCCAACAACTCAAGAATGTTTGGGTCTCTAACAACTTAGGCAGCAAGTTAAAATTAAGGATTTTTAACGCTATGGTAAAACCTGTGCTGCTATATGGAGCCGAGACATGGAGAACAACGGCCGTAAACCTGACCAGAATCCAGTCCTTCATCAACAACTGTCTAAGAAGGATTCTCAGAATTCACTGGCCAGACAAAATCAGCAACCAGGAACTGTGGCAGCGGACAAAACAGAAACCCATTGAGGAAGAGATTCTCCAGAAGCGGTGGAGGTGGATTGGTCATACACTAAGAAAACCTGCTTCTAACATAACAAAGCAAGCCCTGAAATGGAACCCACAGGGTAAGCGGAAAAGAGGCCGTCCAAGAAACACTTGGCGCCGAGAATTGGAGACAGACATCAAGAAAATTGGCCATGAATGGAAGATCCTGGAGAAGCTGGCCCAGGATAGAGATGCCTGGAGGTCTCTCGTAGGTGGCCTATGCCCTTGGAGGAACCGCAGACGCCGACGATGATCGGTGGATGCCCCTCATGGACGAGAAGGCTCAACAAAATTTTAAGCACGCTAGCAACACATCACAAAGGAGGACAATTTTAAATTTAACAAAGCAAACTAATAATTATCCTCAGTAGCCACAAAATATTTTTACGGTGACGTCTACCAATTAGGTATAAACATAATCCAAGTGTCATAAGATTTCACTTAGCTGACAATACATAATAGTTGCATTTAATGGACTGGAAGTCAAAACACTTTGATAAAAGTAACTCACTTCCATCTTAATGGTCCCAATCTTTATTTTGTTCTGAACCATATTAATCATACATCTTCAAAGTTTGAGGTATGTTAAAATGTTAACTTTTTTTTAGGTTATTGTACTGACTGACTTATCTATCCTCTTTTCTGCTTGATTTTATCATCTCACTACGACCCACCAAAACACACAGAACAAAAATCCCAAATTTTTTATTGCCTTGCTGACAGGAATCTGAATTCTGGTAGCCGAGATTCAGTGGCATAGGAAAAAAAAAGGGGGGGGGGGTGTGTACTTTTTTCTTTATATTGAGGGGCGGATCTTCTGCCAATTGTAGAGTTGTTGTTTTTTTTTGTAGAAGTGGGAAGCAAAAATCTTGAACGGCATTAACTCTAGTTACACCACTGAAAGAGAGTTCATTTATATCCATTGCATATTGTTAACATTTATGAAACGTAAAACTCAAGTAAAAATACTTTTACTTGATAAAGGTAAGCAGTATTTTTGTAGAATGTTAAAATTGAGCAGCCCTTTATTACTGTCACTTTTAAAATAGGATAACATTAAATTAAAAGCTAAACTTTATGTAATTATGCAATGGTCAGCTCTGAGCATCAAAGGCTAACTGGTTTAAGGGTGGTTTGGGGATGTCCGTCAGTGAGTGATGAATGCTGCTTAACTCTTGTATCTTGCTGCAACCGACTGTGCCTGACAGGCTCAAACTGATGAATTTCGCTATGTCCAGATTTCTGAGAAAGACAAATGTGAGCTTCTGATTTATTTGAAATAAATTACTTTGACATAAAATTGATTGATGACATAGTATTATTATCAATGTTTCAAGGTAAAACTTGGCTTCTGGTACTAAAATATATCATGTGAAAATATCCAACTAACACTAGAAGAAAACATCAAAAAAAGTATTTTTTTGTCATATTTCCATACAGTTCCAGCACTAAATGCATAGTATAAATTAATAACAAGAGCATACACAGTTAATGAAAAAACAAAGTTCAAAAGTGGTGAATGCAATTAACTAATATCATATTGTTTCATATAATACAACAGAAAAATGTTACCAAAGAGATTAAAGACACAAAAATCAGGACAATATTTAAACTCCTTAGCCATTTCTCATGCAGTCAAAGTGGTTACAAATGTGCAATTTATCCAAAAGTTTCTTTACAAATATATTCAAAGAATTAGTGAAATTGTTTGCAGAAAAAATTATGTTAAAATAAAATTTGATATTAAAGTCTGTAAAATTGTTTCTTTTATAATTGATTTCCTATATCTTTGAAGATGCATGTTTTTTTACTTTTCACCAAAAAATCCCCAGCATTCATTATGTAATCATAACAAATTATTAATTCTGAATAAATGCAATATAAAAATAAAAAACTGACCACAATACCTTATATTACGAATACATAGGGGAATATGAACTTTTGAAGGTTAAAAATTCTCACATTGGAAAATAAAA